CAGTTCCTTTAATAATACTTGTTTTGAGGAGATGCAATACATTTGCATTGGTTTCATTTCCTTTTAAATTCCTTTATCATCTTAATCAGAATCGTATTTTATAACAGAAGAGATCTAGATATCTTTCCTGCAGCCTTAACCTCACTCAATTTTCACTCTAAAGAAGAAACTGTTAGAAAAATGGTGTTAGAAAGCAGCTATAAATAGACATAGTGTTAGGTCTAATTAGCAGGCGTACAGCAGCGATATGAGGCTGTGCTGGCCTCAAGTTTGTGAAAATCTGAAAGATGTAAATTTAAATTGCCTCTACTGAGAGAACTGAAGCTTATTCCCTTTTATGATTAAATTATAAAAATGTACAACTAGCTGAGCTACCCAAACTGAATAATAAATCACTCCCTGTTACATGTTCAGAGCTGTTATATATCCTATATTTTCTTGAGTGGAGCAGAAATTGAAGATGCACAGTAGCTGTGGCAGATGTCAAAGGGTTAAAGACGGGGAAATCCCTTCCTACAGGTGGAATTCTGTGCGATCAAAGCTTGTGACTGATCCAGACTAGAAGAAATAAACTAACTGAAGGTAGCAGATAAAATTTGTTTTCAGTTACATGTAAGCTGTTTCTGTTGTGCTCAGTAGCGGCATCTTGCGCAGCAAGATGATCTTCTTGCTTTCAGCAGCGTATGAACTAGTCTGTAAAATCTCACTTTAAATTTCTGAGCCTCTGTTATTTTACATATGTATTTTTACACATATGTATTTATAGAAGCCCCACCTATTTAATATATTGAATGTGGTGCACTCGGAGAGCCACACTGATCACTTAAAGGCCCAGTTTCTCTGTGGCACAAAGCAGACTCAGGGTAGCCTTTGCAAATCTTCCTTGACGTTACATGTGTGAGAAAGATGGCATACAGGTAAGCACATAGTTCTGGGAGGTACTGGATTACCTACCTTAGCTAGCTGGTTGGAGGTCAAATGTGGACAAAGGCTTGATCTGCCTGGTTTACAGTTGGGAAGGTGTCATTTTTAGACGTACCGGTTTTCAAAGAACCTTATCATCATGAAAACGTGAGCAGAAGGAAGATGCTTCCAAATATAGCTATTATTTTTTCCATTTAAAACTGGATCTTTTCCAGAGTGTCATAGTATGTTTGAACTGCTGAAGAGATCTGGTTAACTGACTGACTGGCACATGGGCCATAAAGAAATGTTTTCAGTCAGTCACTAAAACTTGAGTATCGATCTAGATGAGGAAATACTGCAGGGTAAACTAATAGAGCATCAGTTCTTCCATTAACATCCCACAGAAGCAAAGTTTACTACAGACATTAGAAGTGCTGGTTCTTAGTAAAAGTAAGATCTGGCAAATAAATTATTTCATTTATTTCTCAAAAATTGTGATGTGAAAATAATAGGCATAACGTTGGATTCTGTAAAGAAAAGGAGGAGTCTTCACCTGGTATTTGAAATAAGGCTCTCATTAAAACCAACCTAAACCAAAACCACCCCAAACTTGAGGCAAGTTATATTTGTGTAATCAAATAAATGTCATAAAAAATTGAAATACTCCACTGTTGAGGTTTTTGTGCTTTTAGCTTAAGACTGAATATTGCGTACATACCCCGGAATACCTAATCCCACTATTGTGCATCAGATAAAAGGGTAGCAAACACTGATATTGAGAGTCAGCTGAACTGGTAAGTAGGTTAGCAGTCATCTTAATGTCCCATGTTTACTGATTAATGGAGCCAAAGAATAATCCAACGAAAGTATAAGACATAGTCATGTAAAGAATTAGATGAATTTTACGTTGAAATAGTCAAAAGGTACACAGAAGTGGCAATGACTTTGGATACAGCTTCTTCAAAGTCTCTAAACTTTCTTTGTAATAATATTTTTTGGCACACATCTAAATTTGTAATATTGTACTATGGGATTGCAGTAGTATAAATGACAGGAATCTTTCATTGACACAATTAATCAGAAATCTTCTGGTAGTAATGTTTGTTATTTTAAATGATTCCCTTGAAATTTTCTCCTGCCAACTATTTTCTGTCATGCTGTGCTTGATACTGGGTATGTTTTTCTTCAGACAAAATATAAATAGCCCCTAGCATTCCTTCCCAGGCATACTGGTGGAGGGAACTGCAGTTGCTTTTCATTGTTAAGGCTTTATTTTTACTATAGTCTAGTTCAATCTCATCACTGCTCACATAGCTACTCTTAAGTACAGAGAGCTGTTGTTAACCTTTATGGAAGTACTATAAAGGTAATTTCTTTGATGAATTTACAGACAGTATCATGCAAACCTGTTCCTGTTCTTACTGGTTTCAAAGGCAGAAGTGTCAATAATTTCAGTGGGAAAGGCAAACCAGGCGGTGTTTGTTGGTCTGCAAGGGACTGGATATTGAAGTTTGATTTTGGTGCCTTGCTCCTGAGGCTTGCAGAGGCTTACTAAGTTTGGGAGGAGTGTATGGATTAGATATTTAAGTTGGCAAAGGATGATGGCAACAATCATGTTCAGTATGCCAACATTTGAGCTCCCTTCATTTCCTAAGCAGCCTTTTTTTGCCTTTGCTTCTCTTGCTTTCAGCTTACAGTAAATGTCAAATATTTTGAGATCTCATTGTTCGTGCTGTTGTAGTTAACGTGGGTGTGCCCAAACCTCTGAAAGATGGCTAGTCTTGACAGCATGCTTTTTTTATTTTGATCCGAAAAGATTGAAGTTTCTTCTGACGCTTACCTGACCTTGACCTGCTCCATATGTTTGTGCATTTTAAGCTTGTACCCCTTCTGCCTCAGTTGAGATTAGTTACAAGAAACTCAAAGAACCCCAAGGCTTGTAAAATTCAAGCATCATCTCATTCCTAGTTTAGTGACTGCAGTGTTAACTGTTCATCCCAGAACAACAGTGCAGAAACACAGAATGGTTTGGGTTGGAAGGGACCTTAAAGATTATCTAGTTCCACTCCCCTTGCCGTGGGCAGGGATACAGTCAGCTGGAACATCTTAAATTTATCAGATTACAGGGATTTTTAAGGCCCCATCTCAGTGTGACTCCACCATGGATTTAGTACAAATCTCAAACCCAGCCTACTTTCTACTTGTCTTCCTTGAGCTTTGCATCCTATGATGTGACTTCTAGGAATCTACAGAAAAAAAAATCAGGCTGAAGGAGAAGGAGGCTGAAAAAGGAAGGAGGCATTCGGTCTGTGCGGTAGCATTAGCCTGCGTCTACCTTGTGCAGCTGGGAAAAAATGTTCTTATTTGCAGTGAATAGATATGTAACGCATTTGTCACAAGCTAGGTGCAGTAAAACAAATACCTTTTTCTTGTATCATAATTGCGCTTTTTCAGATGCTAATGACTTCAATTCATACCAGTTTCCTGACCTTGGCAAAGTGCTGCCTATAAACTTTGCCCAGAGGGCCACTTGTATGCGTTAGGAGAATAAATTTAGAGTTTAAAAGTTCAACTGTGTGTTGTTTAGGCAAACGAAAAGATAATTTCAGAAGGAAGTGTCTAGAACTGTGTAATATGAAGGAGATGGGTTCACAGAGCCTTGAATCTTCCAGAGCAATTCACATTTGAGGTAAGGCCAAGCATTCAGGTAAAGACAAAAGGTTTGGAAGGAGGAATGGGAGTAGGAAATGAGGGAGGCAATTCCGAACTTGTTAAATTTGGCATAGGAGGGAGAGTTTAACATGCAAAGAGGTTTGTGTTTGTTGGTTTAAACATGTCTGTAATGTTATGCTGCTGGGAGGTGTTGTTTGTTTCTATCCTGTCTGAAAACCAAGTACGAACTCCTAAAGAGACTTGACTAGTGCAGTGTATCTATTCAAGAATGCATATGAATTTGCTGTTTAAACACAATGTGGATGCATATCCCTTCAGACTATTTATAATGTTGCATCCTTCCATTTCTGTATGAACTTCTGTAGTGAGTTCTGGACCTGTTCTGCTTCTTTACCTGACTCTTGTGTTGGAAAAAAGTAAGGCTTAAGAAAGTATCGCAGTCGTGTTGTGTGAAACCCTCAAGTTAGGCTGGGCTGTTTTGCTTATAGATGAAGTGCTTCTTTCTTACTGAATTGTATTGTATTTCTGACTTGTGTCTTCACGAAAATGAAGTATATACTCCCTGACATCTTTGGACTTACAGATTCAGACCTTTTCTGTGGACCACACGAATTCTTCTGGTTTACCTACACAGTACTGTTGATAAAGCTTTCTGTATTTATCCACAGTTCTTGTTTGGTTTTTTTTTAAGGTCTTGGTACCCCTGGTTCTGCTACAGCAATTTCTGATGGAGTTAACCAGACGGGGCCAGGAACCACTGAGTGCACTTGTGAACTTCGGGGTGACATATCTAGAAGACTATTCAGCAGATTATATCATTCAACAAGGAGGATGGGTAAGAAAACAATGTTTAATTTTCGTATTTTGTTCAAAGCTTATTTCTAAGCATGATACTAGTCTTAATAGGAGTGAAAGCTGGGAAAGGTTGCTAGAAGTAAGCAGATAAGGGAAGGAATGTCCCAGAAAAAAGAAAAAAAGGAAGGAGGTCAGGACCATAGAATTTGAAAGGGCCTACAGGCCCTTGTCCAAAGCCCCTGTCCAGGTTTCTCTAGCCACTGGAAGCTGCTCTAAGGTGTCCCTGTAGCCTTCTCTTATCCAGGGTGAACAAACCCAGCTCTCTCAGCCTGTCTTCACAGGAAAGGTACTCCGGTCCTCATGGTATCACCAGGCTTGCGAGAAAAACCTGGAGTAATGCTATTGTTCTGTAAGTAAATGCAGTATCATCAGGCTTATGCAAAGAAGGACAAAAATTATGTTTCCACCCCATGACTCATCAGCATAAAGACTGCCAAACAGTTATTTTACCACAAGTATGTATGTTCTTTCCTGTTGATATACATACAGAATTGCATGTAGAAGCAAGCATCCCTAACAAGAGATAATGTGCCCGAGAGGCTCATCTTTTTAATAGTATATTCACGCTCTAGTGACTACTGGAAATGACATATTTTTTTTCCCCTTTTAAATTTCAGAGGGGTTTTTAGTAGATAAGTAATTGGGGAGCACTTGATACAGAAATGTATGTGGGTACTAATTTACTTTTATAACAAGTGATAAAATAGCTAATGCATATTGGGATTTTGTCACTATATAGGAATATGGGTAGAACGAGCAACCAAGATTTCTCTGTGCTGCATTTCCTTGTGGAAATCTTCAGTTCATAGTAACCAATGTTCCTGAGTCATGGCATGCTGAGAAGGTTTCATTTAAAAATACATCACGGAGGCAGCTCACAGCTGATGAGCTGGGTCTTGGAGGCTGAGTTTTAGATTACTGGGTTTGGGAAGGATGCCAGATTTGAATGGAATTAATCTGGGATTAGTGAAATGGCTCCAGCAAGTTGATTTATTCTAAAAAAGAAAAGCTGCTCAGGAAAACCCAGTGATTAAAACGTGCTAGTAGGAAAAAACCTCATTCAGACAGCTGCTCGTGTTTCAGGACTTTACCTGAAGGGGTTTTCAAGAGTAGTTGTTCCGGTATTTCTCCATGTCCGCACCTTCCTATATGCCTTCCTGGCAACGGTGGATAATAGTTTTCAGGGCCTTTGGGAGGGATTGTTTGTCTTTAATGCACAGAAACACTAAGAGCATGCAGACAAGTGACCTTAGGTCATTTGATAAATGCACTCTCGTTTCAAAGTATTTTCATCGTGGGGAAGGTCCGTACTCGCAGCTCTAAGACGGATGGCTATTTTGCTTTTCTGCCTTTTTGTTTTAACCTCAGAAAAGGCGATGGTGTGTTCTCTAGCCCCTGTTCGACATCTGCTATAAACATACTTAATAAGGCACAAGGCCTCTGAAAACAAGCAGCTTTCCAGCATGGCCTCTGAAGGGAGGGGGCTGGTTTTTGTGTTTGTGTGACTATGCATGTATGTACAGATCTGAGTAGTCACTGTTTAACGGGCTACGAGCTTGTCTGTATACATCCAGTCAGGCATAAAATCAGACTGACATAAGCAGTACAGCAAACAAGCCAGAGCTATTTTTGAAACAGCAGAAGAGGCGAGGAAAGAGACAAGGTGATGAAAATCCTTTCCAGCTGAATTAACGTAGCTGCACTAACCCTTTGTGAGTTGCTCTGGGGATGGGGCTGGGGACCCACTAGGCTTGTGGCTTGATGTGGAGGAAGGGAATATATGGGTTTATTGATCTACTTTTTTCCTGAAAGGAAAATGTTCCTGTTTACCAAGCGGCATGCTTCTCGGTTTGTTCCAGGTCTGTGGGATGGAGTTGTGGGGATGGCAGTGCTGGGGTAAGGGCTGGGAGAGCTGTGTTTCTGCGGAGGGTCAGGGCAGAGCTGCCTGGCAGGCTCTTAGCCATCACGCAAGTGGTTTGCATTTTTAGAGACAAGCATCTGCCACAGGGGCTCTGTGCGCCGGATCGAGTTCTCAGTAATCCTTTGCCGAGGCCGTAAGGGCAGTGTATAAACCTGGGAGTCTCCAGCGAATTTTATGTTGCTGTGACAGTAAGAGGTTCAATATTTGTGTTATTCTGGAGTGGTGTGGAGATGGGTCTTAAAACTGAGACGAGAGCAGAACCACCTGTTTGCTCGTGGATCGGGAACAGAGGAGAGCTTCGCAGGAGTCAGCTTTTCAGGGGCAGACCTGAAAAACTGTGTAGTGTCTCTGGTGCTGTCTCTTCCCTTGGCACCACATAATTTGTGATCTTTCTCAATTTCTGGATCGAAGTCAACTTTTGCCAGGAGGGAAGTAGCCAGTCAAAGGTAAGGGGTCAGCTGAGCCCTTCCTGTGCCCCACTGCAGATATGTAGAGTCAGAGTTTTAGAGCTGTGTCATCCAGTGGGACCACTTGCTGTGTCATGCTGTGCAGCCACGATGCGGCTGGAAGGCATCACAAGGTTCTGCATGTGTGCAAGACTTCAGGTTGCTTTGTGGGCTGTCAGGAGGCTTGTAGGTCCAGGAAAGCATCAGATGCTGGACAGCAACTAGCTCGAAGCAGAATTGCTAGTTCAGGGGAATAAGGGTTGATGAATTGAATAGCTGTGCAGTAGATTTCAAGAAGTCAGTTGTAAGTAGTGGGAAATTTTGGATAGTAGAGAGGTAGAGCCTCTGAGATGAGAAATTGCTTTTTGAGTTTTCAGCCCAGTTCTGCAGAGATACAGTGATGAGATTATCTGTTAAAACAGTGAATGTTCCCCTCCCATCCTCCCTTCAGGCACTAAATTTGTAATTCACCCAACTTTTCATGGGAGGGTGGGACTGGGATGTGATGGTTGGTTGGTTGCTGAGAGAATGGCTGCAATATTTTTATGGTCAAGTGCGTATTTTGATGCTGTGATTCTGGCCATTGTGTGTGCTGTTCCTCTTCCCCTAGGTCTGTTTTACTGCTTTAGGGTGAAGTCTTTGGCATAGGAATGTCTGTAGCACACTGCATTTGTGTTTGAGTGCAGCTGGCAGCATAAATGTGAATGAAGAGATGAAGTGACTACTCCATCTAATTTACAATCTCTTAGATTTTCAGGTAGATGTTAGCTGAGTCTGGAGGACTGTAGGAGAAGAGCAAGGAAATCTTGCTTTTTCTAGACAGCCTCTCTCTTTCACTAATTGCAGTGAAAGTTTTGACCACAGCTCTTACATTTACCCTGCTTGACTTTAAGTTTTAGTATGATCTCTCTTTTGAAGCATGTTTGGCATTTCTGATTCTCTAAATAGGCACATGTAGGGACCCACATTTCTTCCTCCTGACTCTGTTTTGAACCCAGACGGTCATACTAAGATCTCATTCCATTACCATCTTGAACCACTGCAAACTGATTCCCAGCCTAATTTAGCAGTAGCTTTGTTCTTCTCTTTCCCAAAAGCGATGTTAGGGCTGAGCAAACTGACATGTCGAACGTGCTGTCCCCTCCCCTTTCCTCCTCTTCCCTCCCTTCTCCTCTTTTCTCCTCCCTTCCCTCCTCATACCTCCCCTCCCAGTTTGCTCTGACTTCTCCAGGGCTGAATGCTGCTGCATCAGAAGCAATTCTTGGTCTCCTGGAAAAGTGCACAGTAAGGCCAGTCAGTTGGTAAGGATTGTTTTTCCTCTTCCTTTCCCACTTCTCCTCCCAGATAATTTATTCCTTCTGAGGCCCTGCGGATCCTGTTTTCCAAGGTTAGATTTAATCTATATTGAAATAGTCTGGGAATGTCTGTAAGGAGATAAAAAGAACAAGATCACTTGCAAGCTCGGCGTCTTTTTTTTCCTTCCCCTCAGATTCACATTCATGTTACAAGCCCATCTGCTTTTCACTTGTTTGAAAGAGGTGACGTGCATGCAATTGGTGTTTATTGGTATTCAGTTAAAAACCTTTCTTGTCTTAGTAACAGGCTGGTAATTGTATTTGTGACGCGTAGCTGAAACTGTCCCTGCCTTGCTAGGGTTCTTCTCTCGTGATGGTCAGACCTGGATTTGAATTTAACTACTTAACTGCCCGTGTTGAAAAGAGTAAAAGTAAATCTGCTTGAAATACGCACAGTGTTTAGAGTTTCCTAACTCAGCCTTGGAAATGCTGTTCTCTGCTTCCAGTGGTTTGTCATGGGCTTTTCTGCCAGTTGGGATGTTTTCTTTGCTGTTGATGATTGAATAATCTGCGTGCTGGAGCCTGTTAAAAATACGGAGGAGCAAAGAGTACAGATGCACTTGTCATCCTGGGGAAGTGAGGCGGCAGTTTGCCATGCTGGAGATTGAAATCTCCTTCTGCAGCAGTCCAGGTGCCTGCTTGAGAATGACAATGCAGAAATAGAGAGATGTGCTCCGCTGGAGGAGAGAGAAGTTAAACGTGGTAAAGATTCCAGAAAGGGCAATTTAAGTAGAGAAGTCCTAGAAAGGAACTCTCCTTTCAAACTAATTCTGCTTTACACTTCTATCATGGAACACTGCTGTGCCCACTTCTATTTCTGTGTAGCTTCTTTGGTACAGTAACAGATTTTGTTATATTTTTAGGCATTGTGGCTGAAGAAGAAGGAACTTAAATGGTCAAGGAGCAACTAGATCTCCTTTCTTTTTTCCTCCCAACAATTTCAGTCCGTCTGAAGAATTGGTCTCTAAATATCTGAATTTATTTCAATTTATACCAATAAGACTGAAAGCTTAAGGGTGTCGCTTTGGTGCTGAGTCTCAGCAGGTAGTAGAGGTTATGTTGGAGGGCAAGGGAAGGAATAGGGTCATTTCTGCAGGCTGTTCTAGTCAGAGCATTCATTCCTTGAAGGAGATGAGAGCAGCGGCTGCAGTATCAGTGTGCTTTGATTTGGTTCACACAACCTTTTTTTCCTTTTTTGCTTAATAAAAAGCACAGTCCTACTTGTGGACTCTCTTTCTCTTGGCTCCACCTATCTTGA